CTTTAAAATATATGCACGTGTTATACGAGGAACTGATCGTGTTACTCAGTCCAAAGGATCAAAGTCAAATCTGCCGTCGGAATTGACACATAAAATGATCTTCTGCTTCGTATTAAAATTGTCTTTTTTTTTCCTTTTTTTTTTTTCATTCCTAAACGACCAACATAGATATTTTCATCATGATTTAATCAGTTAATTTCAAAAAAGGCAAAAATGATCAAACATTCAAAGAGGATCCTCAGGCTAAAGATTAACTCAGATGATTCCCTCATGGGTCATGAATGCATGACTTGTCTTTGGCTGCGCTTCACAATCGATTATTGTTGAGTAAACTGAATGATGGGATAAGAACAAAAGAAAAAAGCCTTTTTTAATTTGTGTAGCTCTGACCTATAACATTTCGTGTTGATTCTCCGGTCTTTTTGCGCCTATTTCGCGTCAATCTGACTGGCCTTTGGGATGTGAAATTTCTTTCTCCATACAATTAACAATTAGTCGTGAGAAACGTGATTCCAGCATCGATCGCGTCGGCATCATTTCACGTGAAGTGTTGCTGTGTAGTGTTGCGGGCAATGGAAGGTCACCTGAAGAATTCCTGCACGTACTATTTAGACCATTACCAGGTACTACACCTATAAATCACTTAGAGACTTAAAAAAGAACCTTCGTTTTGGTAATTAAGTATTCTTATCACGGCTTGTTTTTACTTGGGGCTCAGTTTTCTTTGTGACGCTCATTGCTGCACGACATATATCAGACTTTTGCAGATACTTCCCAGCCATTTTTTTAAAAATCCTTATTCTAAATTGTCAACGGTTTCCTTACTTTTTGTAGAAAATCAAGATGAACTCTGCAATACCACTTGTAGTTGTACTGTTAGTGACAATGGTGCAAATCATTCTGGCACATCCTGCTAAAAGTGATGATTTTGAGTACACTACTGACGACTGTCCGCCAGGTATATGGGTCTGTAGGAAAAAACGTGCTCAAATCCCCAAACCTATAGCCGAGTCAAATGACTGTCCACCAGGAATATGGACGTGCCAGAAGAAACGATCACTGGAGGCTGCCAAACAAATGGATTTGGACACCAGAAGACGACAACAAATCTTGAAAAAGATGATAATGAGAGAAAAAGAAAGAGAATCTGCCAAGATGTTGAATGCTGCAAAGTTACAAGGATCACAGTCTCAATTGAAAAGATCAAACGATTGTCCACCAGGAATTTGGGTCTGTTAGGAAAAAGTATGTGCATGAACAACGGCTGGTAATGACGAAACGCACGAAACATGACAATTTAGAAAAACTATTTAAACTTGAGAATGAATAGGTAGAAATGAATAAATATTCCTTATCACTGAATGGATATTTAAAATGACTTTGCAAGATAAAGCAAAATTTGATTGTAACTTAGCGTAATCGATAATCCAATCCAAACCCAAGTTGTCTAACGTATTTTTATTTAATATAAAAAGGTCATGAGAGTAACGAAGAAAAAACACTATCAAAGCTGCCTGTTTTTTACATCTTTGTTTAAATGAAAGAAAGTTTCAATAAAGACTGAACGAGGCAAGAGACGTGTTTGAGTATCACTACCCAACTATGTGCTAACAGCATTCTGGATTAGTTCAAGAGGGCTTTCACAATATGAGATTTACCTCAAAGAAAGATTAACTAATCACAGCGTAATCAGGGCTTAGCAGTTTGCTATGAGATCGGAGGAGGAAAACAACACAGGGTAAGGCTACACAAGATTATCTATCATCTGTGGGAAGGGGATAGGTTATAGTATGGGTGGTAATGATCTATTATCTGGGGGGAGGGGATAGGTTATAGTATGGGTGGTAATGATCTATTATCTGGGGGGAGGGGATAGGTGATAGTATGGGTGGTAATGATCTATCATCTGGGGGGAGGGGATAGGTGATAGTAAGGGTGGTAATGATCTATCATCTGTGGGGAGGGGATAGGTGATAGTATGGGTGGTAATGATCTATCATCTGGGGGGAGGGGATAGGTGATAGTAAGGGTAGTAATGATCTATCATCTGGGGGGAGGGGATAGGTGATAGTAAGGGTGGTAATGATCTATCATCTGGGGGGAGGGGATAGGGGATAGTAAGGGTGGTTATGATCTATCATCTGCGGGGAGGGGATAGGTGATAGTATGGGTGGTAATGATCTATTATCTGGGGGGAGGGGATAGGTGATAGTAAGGGTGGTAATGATCTATCATCTTCGGTGAGGGGATAGGTGATAGTAAGGGTGGTAATGATCTATCATCTTCGGTGAGGGGATAGGTGATAGTAAGGGTGGTAATGATCCATCATCTGGGGGGAGGGGATAGGTGATAGTAAGGGTGGTAATGATCTATCACCTGGGGGGAGGGGATAGGTGATAGTAAGGGTGGTAATGATCTATCATCTGAGGGCAGGGGATAGGTGATAGTATGGGTGGTAATGATCTATCATCTGGGGGGGAGGGGATAGGTGATAGTAAGKGTGGTAATGATCTATCATCTGGGGGAGGGGATAGGTGATAGTAAGGGTGGTAATGATCCATCATCTGGGGCAAGGGGATAGGTGATAGCAAGGGTGGTAATGATCTATCATCTTCGGGGAGGGGATAGGTGATAGTATGGGTGGTAATGATCTATCATCTGGGGGGAGGGGATAGGTGATAGTAAGGGTGGTAATGATCTATTATCTGGGCTATTATCTGGGGGGAGGGGATAGGTGATAGTAAGGGTGGTAATGATCTATCATCTGGAGGGAGAGGATAGGTGATAGTAAAAGTCTTTAAAAAAGCAATGTGATAAGAAAAATTAAAATCTATACTTATGGAACTGATGAGCCAATCATTTAGTCATAAGACTAGTCTTACTGAGAGTGTTTTTAAAGAGTGGAACTGAGTTTATCTGAGTAATACTTTTTGGAATAGAGTTTCAAATGTCAGCAGCTCTACAGGAGGACAGCTGTTGAGCTAACTTTGTTTTACACATCTAGTTTTGTTGCTTGTTAACACGAGTTCCGTGTGCTTTGATTGCGAATCCCTGATCTTAAGGACGTTCATGGGCATTGTTCAAATTGGTTTTTGCTGCCGCTAGTCAAAAATATAAAAGGTATAATTGACTGATTATTTTTGATTGACGACAGCGTGCAGTTCGCAGAATCAGTATTGAAAACAGCAGCAAGACGTTGCTTACTACGTATTGTTTTGGAGCAGATCATAGATCTCCTACCTACGAGTTTAAAATGACCCGAATTAAACAGCCCTGTTTACGGTCGCACACCCCCACCCCTACACCCCAAAACAATAAAAACGCGTAGGTGAACCTGCAAAAGGCATCGTTTGCTCTCCATATTTTTTTTATTTTTCAAACTAAAACTATTCTAGTTTCATTAAAATTCCGCCATTACTGACGTAAATAATTTACAAATAAAGATCGAAGGGAAGACAGACAGTTCACATCACAATACATTCCTAAGAGGTTCTTTTTTTTGTGAGAGGTCCATTGGATTTCTCTCTGGGGCTTTTTTAGTCTTGCCCCATGACAAACTTTCAGCTACTTTCAAGTATAGGTTTTAATATAGCAAATATAAACGATGGAATGTTATGGTATGGTTAATTCTTAAGAGCGCGTCTCCCTAAAAATCAAACAAAATCGAAAATTTGTGGCAAGGCTCAAAAATTCAAAATCGCTCAAACTTTCACCATTTGTAACCTATGGTTAGGTGAGAAATGCTATGGGGTTGGTTTGTAAAAATACTTTTTATTTTGCGAGAAATCCGTGAAAAACTGAAATTAGATGTGGACGTAAAAAAATCACCTTCAAAAACGTCCATATTCAACGGCCTCGTGTGACTCGGAAAAGAAACTTACAAACCTCTATTTTATACCATTGAAACACTCGACTCTTTGTGAATGTATTTCGTGAATTTCAGTTAAATTGGGATAATCTTTGCTTTGGAAAGAAGTCGTTAGAAAACGCTACCAAATTCAAAACGAAATATGGAGGTACACTACAAAWTTTTTTTGTCCCACTGCCTTTTGCTCAAAATTCAAGAAATTTTAGAAATAAAACCCAAAAGGGTACTAGATTTTAAATATATAAAAATATTTCTGGGCAAATGCAAGCGCGCTCTGTAATCCAGTGCTGAGTTTGGCGTATTTTAAGGAATCGGTCATGAGTTCTAATATTGCGTGACAGGCCGTGACAGTACTGTCATTACTATTTACACTGTTATTTGCCGTGGTATTATTTAATTCCTTTCGAAGATCATGTAGAAACTTCCATTTGAGTTATATATCACCCAATGAATGAAAGATCTGCMAAATATATGGTAAAAAGTTACAGGTTATATCCAAAGTTTGAAACTAAATACTGGTATGCAAATTYAGCTGAGAAATTCCGTGAGACACTACTGGGAATTAAGCAGTTTAATATACTTTCCCCACTTGCTATGAAAGTTATGAAATGAAGATAATCGACGCAGGAATACATAATCTGTATTATTATAATCATTTTTATTTTCCCTAAACTTTAGCGGCATCCTTTGTTTGTGTTCATCAAAGATTGAAATCAACAAGTGTATGTTCATGATTGTGCTGCGGTTATTCATTTCAAGTATTCTAGGTGGAAGCTAGTCTTATTCTGCTGTTTTAGTTGGCGTAATTTTCATATCTTTTAAACTGAAATGGAAGTATCTTGTCATTTTCAAAGTAGAACCGGTACTGCTTGTTCATTTGAGAGAAGGGATGTCAAAAAGAACATCGAGATTATTCCTCTTCGCGCCTGCTGTAAGGACATCAGTAATCATAAATCTCTGTGGACTTTTACTGGAGTAGATACAGAAACTGAGCTGATTTTAGCACGATCTGGTATTTTCAACGTTGGTGAGAGGGAGAAACTCCACGAAACAGGTACCATCTGCCCGCATCACAGATCAGAGCTTGGTTTAGGTTGGCGACGTAATTCCAACAAGTGTTCCGTCCCACAAGAAATATCGAAACACGAGAAAAGAAAAGGMGATCGCGGGATTTCTTTGTCGATATCTGAACAGATTTTGCAGAGGACAGGTGTGCTTGTTCAAGTTGGTTCAGGTAAACTTAGTTTGAAAACAAGTCACAACGCTTGCATTTTGGAATGCAGAGAACGACATCAGTAATTTATGATAATAAGCATACAGTTAATTATTGACAATATGGTTCTTGCTCTACATCTGACAAAGTTGTAAAAGTTTCAGCCACCTTTTATCTTGCTCTACGCTTTTGTTCTTTTTACGTGGAAATGTGCATATCACTGATTTCTGTAACTATTTCATATCCAAAGGTATTTGTAGGCATTGTAGAGAAAGTTTCAATGTGTGCAAAGAAACCCAAAGTGGTTGTTTATATGATCAGGGGGACTGCGACACACCCCGCAGCATACAAGCCCTTTCGAATGAGATTGGTTCTCTTAAATTGGTAAATATACCATCTTTAAACATTTAGAAAGATAGAGAGAGATAAGTTTATTAAAAATATATAACGTTGCAGCTGTAATGTGTTGTTAAATCTACAAGTTTTTGTTTTTGGGGAACAAAAACTCGTGTCCGTCGAAGACTATAACGTCAAACATGACATGTAAGAACCAAAAAATCAAGGCGTAATA